CTGATGCAATTTTTTATAATGATAATTGCTTTAATAATTTCTGTGATGTATTACTAATGAGCCGTTGTGAGAAGATACAATGCAAAGGCTTTGTCATTTAATCACGTTTTCACGCGTGTTGTCTCACGTGTATTCTGGAATTTCATTGTCTTTTATCTGACGTAATATTGGGAGTGCTTTGGAAAATCTCGATAAAGCCAAGTGCTATTGAATAGCAAGTGGATTTATCAAAAGAAGTACTAGACGCATTTCATTATTATTGAAACTTTTCCACGTCAATATCAGTGTAAAAAGCAAATTCATAATTATCGGCGTAACCTTGCGTTTGCGTTTAATGATCAGCCGTGAATGCACATGAAAATGAAGTAAATTACATTAAAAGTATATGCCAGTGACTTCAAAATTGTAATAATAATTTATTGCTGCAAGTGAACGTGTGCACGGAGGCGGTTAGTTCTGACATATGTAAGTACAAAATATCTAAAAAATAAAAATTAAGTGAAACATTACACACAAATGTTTTTAAAAAAATACGGTATAAATAAAAACACATAAACAACACGTAAACATACAAAAACGGTAAAAAGGGCAACTATTCGCTCTTTCTTTATTCTATTCTCATCGCTTCACTTCGGTGTACGTCACTTCACTATACAATAATTTCTACTTTAACGGTAAGTATAGCACTTGACCCTTGCGCGCCCCTATGTGTGCTGAGAAGCCTCTCTGCGCTCAGTGGAACCTCAGCAACAGAGGCAGCCGCAGCGCACGTGACAGGGCAGGCGACATCCATAGAGCAACATTTTGAAGAGGCGGATTTACCAGCATTACTTGATGATTTTGTACCAGTGGAGGATATTTTAATAAAAATAGGGCATTTTACATTTTCATATTCCACGCTTTGCAGATAATGTTCTTAAAAATTCAAAATCATTATGGTATTTAAAAATCATATTAGACTTTGCTCTGCAAAAAGAGACAAACTTTATTCAATAGTTAATAATTGGTATAAACACAGCGGCAGATGCAAGTGATTAATTTGGAAGGGGCCATTACATATTTTTGTTACGCCATAAACGTATTTTTTTATAACGTATAATATTTATGTACAGTAGACATGATATGAATCGTACTATACAATATTATTGTTTAAATAATTTAATAATTCGATCATAAATATTTAATTCGATTTTGCCAAATAAAGGAAAATAAACGAAAACTTAAGGTCAAGATTTTAGGGGGGGCACATGGTCTTTATTGCCCCTCTCTGGATCCGCCAGTGTATATACACTCATTACTGACTTGTATGTAAAGAATTTATTTGAGTGGAACTGTAGAGATTCTTAGCAAGGCCGGATACAGCAGATCATTTTGGAGGGGCCATCATAGATTTTTGGTAAATAATAAACATTTGTTATTATATTGAATAATATTTTCGTATTTTGTATTCGATACAATACAGTATCATTTTTTAAATAATTATATAACTCTAAATAAATAAATATTTCAATCAATTTTGCCAAATAAAAGGTAAAAAATGGAAACTCCAGGCCTTGGGGGAGGGGGGGGCAGGCCCTTCATGCCCCCCCTGCTACTGTTTCATAGCATGACGTCCTTTTAGTGAATTAATTATTTTAAAATTACGACAGCATTATTTTCAATTCAACGGGACAAAAATGACATTTCATGTAAATGTAAAAAGTGAGGGAGGACAGGAGGTCAGTTTAATAAAAAAAAAATTCCTGCTTTTTGAGGGCAGGTGGCAACCAAGGATTCACCTAATTCCAATAATCGACCAGAATATATCGATATAACACTACTAAAACTACACCATTACAAAATTCAAAATAGTAAAATATATATTTATAACATGGGTCATCCACGAACTCTATTTGATGTTCATCAGTACATTTATAAAATATATTTTGTCGAAAATTTGCCACTTTTTCCCGCAGCATTTCATCACTTTAATAAACTATTGTACCATTATTATATTACATACTTCATTTTACATATTTCAAGTAATTTCAAAAATTGATGCACACTACTTCTGATTTGAACAATGTAATATATGCCTTATCCTTTTAAATGATTTTATAGTATTATCAGGACCAGGCATTCAAGAATAATATGGGAAGCTCGGTATCCAAACCAATATTCATTTTAATTAAACTTTTTATAAACAAAAAATTAAGTTCATAAAATTATATGAAAAACATTATATTATAAAACGAAACTCATTGAAGAAAGACTGAAAAAATGTACCTCAAGGTAAGTAAATAAACTCTTTGTTTTCAGCAGTGGTAATTTAATTTAAATCGTACTTTTCATGGAGAAGCGTTTAAACAAATTCAGTATATATTCACAGGTCTGCCCTTCAACAATTGTCTAGAGTAGATGAACATTTCAATTAGAAAATACAACTTTTGAAAAAGTATCGGTATTAACTATTTGTTTTGAAGACACACGTATTAATTATTAACGATTAATGTAATGCAGCATATGTAGACGAGTCATTGATGAACTCGATATTAAAAAGCGACCTAAAATAAAGAGTTGTGCATATTGCTACGTGGCGGCTGTCAATCACTGGACTGATAATTTGGCAGGTTCATCCCTCCCCAAAAAAAGTCACATCAACTCACATTTATTCTACTAAAGAAAGGAAACAATTCATTCAAATGATATACATTAGCAATATTTCAAACTTTTTGGGAGTAAAATAAAATATCTTGAATTGAAACTATCTCTCTTAATTTAGTAACTTTAACGAGACGTAACTTCGTAATATTAAATTTCGCAAGAGTTCAATAATATTGTATTAACTACCTACGTTCGCGTTAGGAGGGTTGGTAGACCAAGATTCTTGTCAAAACAGTTGTTCGTCGGTAAGAGATTTGTTAATATATTTCACATTACTGCTGTATTCCACATATAACAATGATATAATAATATATAACATAATGCCCGACTATCACGTTTAAGAGGACGAGAATAATTATATTTTAACAAACCAAATACAAGAAGGCACAAACATTCACCATTCTTCAGAATGTCTTCTATATTCAATGAATTGAGTAGTGTGGAATTTAGACATTAGTTTTTCTTTTCTAAAATATAAACAAAATTTAAATAAAAGATTGAATGATCAGTAAATATGGATATATAATTTTAAGTATTGCTCGCTGATGCCCATATTATTTTGAAGATGCATTTTCCATTTTTGTAATATTGTCATTGTACGCTCATTTTTATATTTTTTTGTAATTACTGTTTTGAATAATATTTATGTTTTTGTTTATCTTACTGATGTGTTATGTTTTATCAATTTTTGTAAAAAATGTATTCTTATGATTGGATTTCTAAGATTCACTTTTGTAATTTTTCTAAAAATTGATTTTTTCTTTTTTTTTGTTTTTTTCTTGTAATACCACCTGTAATGGGGGTTTTGAGGCAAATAGTTCGAATGGGCTAAGTTCGACATGCCTAAGTCGAAGAGAAAACACAATTGCTGATTTGCCTTGTGCATCACACATCAATTTAAATAACATTAGTTGATCGATTGTTTATTAGTGATTTCACGTCAACGTCAACAACTGAGGCCATTAATACAGTAAGGGTAGTGCATATTTTTGCTCGAGAGATGGCGGTGGTCTCCACCCCCCCGCTGTATGGACAGATCCGCCGCCCACCAACCGTTGACAAGGGTTTCCCCAAAAAGGTATCTCCCACCAACTGGGCAGCGCCCCAGCCGGAGAAGCTCTAAGCTCCCTACCGATCTCCCACCACGTGTGTTAGTGTAGTGCATGTCAGTGAGTGTGTATGTGCTGAGGATAGGACACGGAAGAGGAAGGAAAGATCGCGCGCGATCCATGGACCGTCGGTTAGGGTATTACTCTGGCATTCGTCTGGTGTTGATCGGACTAACCCCAAAACAACTACCGTTCAGAGCTGCCTTTCGCTAGAATTCTCCTCCAGACGGTGCCTGAAATCGACCTAGCTGTAGAGTGGAAAATACTTCCACTGTCCGGGACTCGAATCCTAGGACCTCCCTGTCAGAGGGACTGCATTGACATCAGTCGATGCTATAAACCATCTCTCCCGGTCAAATTAAATAGCAGCTGATATGTCTGTAGACATATTATTGTGACTAAAGGCTTCTTAACTGCTGTTTAAACAAAGCAGATAAACAAGCTAATCTCTAACATAATCAGATATCTCGGGTTTTCTTAATAAAACCTAAATTCACAAATAATAGATGTAAAATCACAATTTTTTAAAACGAATTGAATATTTTGCGCGTAATGCCCTACAATTGCTAATCAGTTTTATATAAGATAAATGAGATGAGTTAACGTTAATTGAGATATCATAATCTTACGTAACCTTTTTACTGACGCGAAAAAGTACGTGCTATTGAAGCACCAATAGTTTTTTTTCACAACGATTCAAAGAGCGAGAAAATAATTAATTTTTCACACTCATGGACTTAAAGAAAATTGCCACGGGGCTGTATGTGCGTGTAAATGTCGGGATGCTTTCCAGTAATAGACTTTTGAAAGAACCGTGGAGTGATAATGGAGTACAACCACGGAATGCAATCGCACTCTTTCTTTTCTTCACTACCCCTCCCCCTTCCGCTAGTTTCCTTGCCTGCCGCTCGCCGCGCGCCGTTCAGCACAACCCTCTGCTAGGAGAACACAAGTAGGGTTATTACAAGTTCTCTGTGGTCCTGTGGTTGTGTTGTTCGTAGTGGAGTGTTTCCAATTCAGAGAAATGGTTAATTAAAATGTGCATTTAAATAATCTATTAGTAGTGTGATAACAGAAGAAGAATTGGGTAAAAAGCAGACCTTCGACGATACCATAGGAGTAGAACTTCAAATTTCACCAGTGGAACAAGAAATGAAGATGATTCTCTGGATGGAAAGGTACGAAATGCTACATATTATAGATGATGAAAATTGATTTCCTCACTGGTAACATCGCTACAAAAACTCTATATAACTATGTTTTTGCTCCAAATGCATTAATAAAAAGTGGCCCCTAGAGAAAAAAATCTGTTGATCTTCACTTATCCTTGTAATATTATGGCAGGCTTTGTAAATCCTACGAAATTTACTCCTACAAAATCTTCTTGATTTAGAACTGTCGTAACAGGGAAGTTATTTCTGAAAGTCTATCAACAAATTCTTGATCGCTACTAATCATGTTAGGTTAGAGTCGTAGAGGTATAGTTGTTATGGATGTAGTGTCCTATTGACTTCAGGTTTTCTTATAATGTTGCTGGATAAAATATTCATTTAAATTTGTGAACTGAAAATTTTTACGTAAACAATTTATATATTGAATCAGTTTCGTTAATATAGAAAATTAGTAAAAGCTGCATTTTTACTTTCTCGTTACCGCTTACGCAATAGAGAGAAAGTTATGTAGTTTTGAGCGAAGAGACGGCGAATTTTTAGCAGAAAAACTCTTATTACAGAGCCCTTGTAACGAAAAAGTGGAAAAATCCAGAGCTAAATTTAGAAAAAATCTTTTAATACATGAAGTAGTCAAAACTCATGTTTTGTGGGTCCTTGATAACGAAAAATCGAATGACAGCAAATCGTCCATCTGTCAGTCTGTGAACAAAACTAGAGGCTAAATTGTACATCCGATTTTCTCCCAAATTGATATTCCCCAGTCGATCTGCTGATGTCGCAGCACTTTGAATTTGAAACCTATATTTTAATTTTTGGGGATAGTTTTCATGGTGCTCCTGGGACATTTTCTTAATTAAAAAAATGCTCAGAGCTGTTCCAGAGAATGGTGCAAGTCTCATAATCGTTGAAAATTTATATTTTTTGAAAATTGTATACATTCAAAAGTGTCCTCCTACAACTACAATTATGAAGATAAAGATTTTTCCCTTTATAAAGTAAGTTCATTAAAGACAGATTTTGAAGCAAGGTCATGTAGGTCAGGAAATTTGTTGGACAAAGCTTTCTTCTATAAAATTAACGTAGTGTGAGTTATCAAAAGATTAGCAATGAATAGAAGATATGGCCATTCTTGACATAAGAGGCGATGAATAAATGATTGCAATGTATTGCCGGATGAATGAAAATTCATTTCCTCAATCATTTACATACCATGAAAATTCACAGTATTCAGGTTTCAGAAGTAACTATTGCAACCATTTTAATCAGCCTGTAACCACTGGACTACAGGGAATGGAATTTATATAATGTATTCATTAGTGATGATACTACAAACGGTTCCAAGAAAAAGTATGGTATGTGTGGAAATATACTCACTCCATTTTATTCTGACGTATACGTACTATATGTATGAAGCGAGTATGGATACGTAGTAAAGACAAAGTTACTCAGAGCTACAGAAATTCGACATCGAGATTTTTTTTTCAAAACGCCTGTCGGTTTGTCTGTCTATCTGCCACCGTGCCCGATCGTTAACCCGTCAGTTGGTCTGTCCACGCATGACTACCGTCCGTCTTTCCGCCTGCCCACATGCTTGCCTGTCTGTCTGTGCCTGTCTGTGTTTCTGTCTGTGCCTGTGCCTGTCTGCTTGCCTGCCTGTCTGTCCGTTCGTTCGTTCGTCAGTCCGTCCGCTCGTTCGTACATCCTTTCGTCCGTGAAAATATTGTTCATTACTAAGTAATATGTTAATACATTGTTATAGTAAATATGTTTTCATTTTTGCTTTGGAAGCGAGTGGTGTTTAAGAAATTAAAATGCATTTATTCAGTGCTGCAGAGAACATTAAAGCGCACGAAAAAATCGGCTTAAGTAATATTCATTTTATCAATTTATTAACTTACGCGACTGTAACATGTTTACAAATACTCTCGAGCGAGTCACCGAGAGAGAAGGCTCCGGGCATCAACTGATGTTACTACAGTCCCTTTGACCGGGAGGTCCTAGGTTCTAGTCTCGACGGTGGCAGGAGTTTCGACACTAGATTGTCATTTAGGTCGAGTTAAGTCACTCTATGGAGGGCAATGCCTGCGGCCGGCTCTGATCGGTAGTTTTCAGTGATTTCTCCGATCAACACCAGGCGATTGCCGGAGCAGTACGGACCGCGCGCGTTCTTTCCTCTGCCCCGTCCTATCCTCCCCCGTACTATATGCCCGACACTTCCATAAATGCCGCGAGATACGTGGGGAGCTTAGAGCTTGTTCCGGCTGGGGAGGTGTCCCGCTGTTGGAAATACCTGGTTGGGGAAAACCCTGCTTGCCGACGGCAGGTCGGCGCCGGATCTCACCATCCAGCCGAGGAAGACCATTCTTCAATTTAGACATTTTCATAATATGACAATACCAAATAGATATAGAGGTTAGGTTGACTTCAGCCCCCGCATTTTCTTTCTTTTTGCGTTGAATAATAGCACATATTGTTTTCAATAAACGTGAATTATCTTCTGATAGTAAGTGGTAGTGTGTGGCAAACATTTTTAATTTAGGTTAGTTTTATCTCGTAGCCCAAGAGAAACAGTGGTGACAATACCCTGATTTGTCCAGCATAACTCTTAGGCCGAAAGCCAAACAAGACGTTTTTTTATCAGTTTCTCCTCCGACTGGCAAGTGAGATATTACACTAAATACCATCTTATTACTAAAACAATTATGTTTTGAAGAAGAGAAAACTAGCGTATAACTTCACCGTATAACTTCTTCAATACTTTACAAAAACCTACGCCCGCGAAAGCTTTTCCATAAGAGCCTGAGCTAATTTAAAATTGTATGATTAAAAAATGAGGCTAGTAATGGCCCATTTTTCTTACCATCTTGAAGAACAGGGATTTTGCTTTCATATAAAGTACTTTTTGGGGATACTTCACTGAGGGGCGACCTAATGAGTATGCTACCTAAAGGAACACATTTCTCATAAATGAAGGATTGAATATGAAAAAAAAAATTAAAAATTTATTAATAATATTTGTACATGGGCTTTTGAACATGAACAGAGACTTAAGCAATGTAAGAGTTGAAAAAATAATACTAATAGTTAAAATGTATGCAATAAATAAGGCCAAGAAAATCATTCATAAGATGTTAAATCACCATGAAATACTTTATGGCAATGAGTGTTTTATAACTTAATTGTAAAATATTTGTTTAATGCAGTAATTTGCCTTCCTGTCGAAGTTCTCTGGCCATTACCCTGAGCTCACGACGTTTAATCTTGGAATTGAAATTCCTGGGAATTTCATCAAGAAAATAAATTCCTCCATGAAGCTGCTTATACACAGGCAGACGATCTGAAACATGTACAGACACGATTAAATTCTATCATCGAAAATGAATTTATTGATGATGCACTCATATGTGGTTAAAATAGTAGTTACTCGGAGATTTTAATTACTTATATATTTTCTCCCTACCTGTGAACTCATAAAATATGCAGATGATGATAGATATGCTAAAATATCCGTAAAATATATAATCAATGGGAATATAGCCAGTCTTATTAATAGAGAATAGAGTTGTGGGCAATGGGACAATTTGTGCCTCCAATTCGAAAATATCCAAGTTAGTTTATTGCAAGTGAGTTAGAAGTTTGTGAATGTCTTTTAAATCACTCGCAGGATCGAATGTTTTAAATAAATGTGTCAGATTATGGGACACAGTGTGGGATACAGATGCCGTGGGCTTTATAAAACATTTGATCGTGGAGTGTTTTATGGAAAATTATTTGTAAGGTACCCGGAAACAACTCTTGGCTTTTCAATCTCTTTTATGTCCAGGATTGAATCCTGGAATCCGGGTCGGGGAAATTCCACTCATCCCTGCATGAAAATTGCTAGACATCGACAAATGCAAAAAGTCGCCAACCTCCGCCTCGCTAATGACGGAGGGTGCCATTTTGTACAATTGAGACGGTAAAGCAGAATTGTAGATTTACGTGGCTGTGTAAAATGAAAGTGTAGACTGGAACCGAACGAGTGAAAGAAGTATTATTGAAAATGGGAATCCGGGAATGCGTGGCTGAAATGAAAATAGAAGTCCTACAAACAGTGCAAGGCACGTTTCAAAGAATTGTGTTAGAAAGTTGCGTTTATTGTATGCTCAAAAATTCCGAAAACCATTGAATCTCGTTTTGAACTTTTTAGCTGAATGTGAATCTTCGTATATATAAAAGGGAATATGCGTACGTGTGTCACACATAAACGCAAAAACTACTGGACTAATTTCTCTGAAATTTACACACTTTGTTCTTATTAGTAATGGGAGTATTTAAAGAACGATTTGAATTAAATATGACATATGCTGACGTTGTTGATGGTGATTCATTTGTTTATAACCACTCAAGCCCTCAACACTACGCAACTCACCACTCAGTCAAGGAAGTACGGTTTCCCTGTATACAAGTATTGTGCCCCTGCAACGGTAAAATATCGGTCGGAATTATTTTTTGAATTTCGGACAAGTAAATACAATCTCTCCAAGATAGTCTCATTGCGAACGCATGCCCAAATTTGAGGAAGAACCTTTTAACAATATAATACTTGACAACCATGTACAAGTAAGGACATAGAACAAACTCATACTTGCGAGAAAGTCGTTCATCTATTTTGCACACGAAGAGTCTTTCACAAATTTTTCACAGCGAAGCGTAAAACAATCACGTCACCAGTAGTGTGTGATGTGTAATACACTGCAATAGCGAAGCATTGCCGGGTCCACTAGAGCTGAATTAAACTGTGTTCCATGGAGGCACGTTCCGCATTTGTGGTGGGGCATACCTCTGAGGAACTGGTGCAACTGCTCCGCGGTGACGTCGTGCCCTTTCGCCCTCACGACGAAGCCCACCGGGTGTTCCTGGTCCTCGTCGTGCTCGATGCCCACCACCGCCGCGTCCTCAACGCCCTCGTGCGCTGTGAGGACGTTCTCGATGTCGGCGGGAGCCACCTGCGAACACGTTGATTC